GAATGGAAATGTTATAGTTTAACTGTCGATATCTGACACACTACGCGTTTTTATGCTACAAGTGGATTATCGGTAGCTAGGAAGTATATTTTATATATACTGTCAAAATGAACCTGCGTGTTATGTACATGCTGTTACTACTTAAGAAGTATCTATTTTTACATTGTGTATGATTCCGACACCACATTTATATACTGCTTAGTGGGTTCATTTTGACAGTGTCTCTAAACTACACTTCCTAGCAACATATTTATAGAATGCGCATGCTGCATACTATATACATACTGTTAGTAATTAGAAAATTTGCTTTTACATACTGCTTTGTCACTTAAGTATATTTCTGTACTGCTTAGCACATTGTCCGACATTACGTACATCCTGACTACTAACACTGTACATAGTGTGCCGCATACTCCATGCTTTCCCTTACTGTCAGCAATTACGCAACATTTGTAAAATTTGATCGTCGTGAACTCTGGTCTAGGAGGAGTCATTCGTTATGTATTCAACGTTCAACGTATTCAGACGTTCGAACAGTCTGTGCTGTTTATGCGGCAGCATATATGTAGTACCAGCTGCTGAAGCGTCGTTCGTGATGAGTGCAAGGTGGCTCTAGCGGGCAAAATCGTTGAAGGTGCAACTAGCTGAAATACCATCTAGTCATAGTCTACTTAAATGCCTCCCTCCACGTAACCAAAGTCAGTGGAACTTGTTAGCAGAGTCATTCGTTATTTGAACATTTCGAAAATGTATAGTTGCTTAATATACACCATGCATTTTACTGCATCGTATGCACATATTTTCAGTACACAGATTATGTAGTATGTATTTTCTGTATATATGTGTATTGGCGTATAGGATATAGCAAGTTGTTAGTCATTTTTTTGTACTGCATAATTTGGCACATAGTATACTGTATACTATTCATATGTTCCCATCTGCTGGACAGCCTGATTTTTATCTTCTGTGATATGTAAAAATGCCATTATAGAATGTTGTTGCTACATACTTTGTGCATAATGTCGCAGTTAGATTTTTTACAATATATGAATGCTGTGCAGTAGCTTTCTAACTGTCAGAGTAAGACGTGCTATATTCTATTTGTATATTTTATGTGTATTTTACATATTCTATCAGTAATTATACAGTATATAGACATATGCCCATGCTTTCTAAATGCTGAGAATGTATGTGAATTATCAGGATGTTACATACTGTTCGCATATTGTCCGCAGTTTGACTGTTTATTTGCCATGGACTGCATAACTGCTACAAGCATGTATAAAAATCCTATTTGCATGACATTGTGCATATATTGATAGTTATATACATGTTAACTTGAAGTGCATGCCTTTTTCGCATGTAAAACTGAATATCTTGTTAAGAATATGTGATTTTGTGCAGTATGCCTAAATATTGTATAAGGCGCGTAATTGTGCAGAGGATAGTAGTTTAGCTTTAAATTTTAGAAGCGCAGGTGCGAATTCCGGAGTCATGAAATTTTACCTTCTTTGAACCCAAAAACCTATACTTTCGACAAACATGCAGAATTATGGAGATATATTCTTAGGTGTGTTAATATGCGCTTAACTCATCAAGTTGCCGGATCTTGCGTGTATTGCACCACCCGTTGCTCCTTACATCTATGGGGGGGATATTTAGATAGGCCGCGCTCAATGATTTTT